CACTACCACCTCTCCAAGAAAGCAACTCCCACGCCATGGAACACCCCATAGTGAGCTTTATTGACAGTGGTATTTCCAGCAGCCATGTGTGGATGTTGCTTCGGACTTTCTTCAGACAGTTGGGCCACACCAAGAAACTATTAAGCCTATTTCTTATCTCTTACGTAGGACTGTGTCTTCGCAATCTCCTCTTCAATCAGTCTGAATCACCCTTACTTTGCTGATTTGGAGGTAGGATACGTGCACTTACCCTATACTATCTACTTCTGAACCTAAAATGCATACTTCAAATCTTAGTGTCCAAAAAATTGTTTGGAAGTTGCAAATTGCACTCAGAATCAGTAATTACTTGTCAAGTAAGTAACTGTCCAGAATTTAAAAATGTTGATGTTTGTTTGAGTTTAGGTATGATCTTCAAAACTGTATAGTAAAGACCTGGGTGAGGTTTTACACTCCAGCCTGAGCTGTAGTGAATCTCAGGCTAGTCTGGATTATATGGTTTCTCTGCAGGACCTCGACTCAAAAAAAAAATCTATATTAAAAAAAAGATAAAAATAAAAGTAACCCAAACTGCTTAGTAACCTTTCTTTCTTGGCTGCTAAGAACAATAGAGCTGATGTTCAACCAAGGGCACTGGAAGAAAAGTAAACTAACATAACACTTGCGCTTGCTAAGGTTTTTTTGGCTGCAAATCTGTTATTTGGCATTGGGCTGATTTGGAATAATTAGTCTAAGCCCCCCTTTCAGATCTCCTTGCCTGCAACTAAACTCCAGGAAGAGAGAAGAATTCCATTGGCTTCCTGCCTAACCCTTGCTGAACCATATTTTAGTTCAAGCATAACTCTGCTGAGAAGCTTATAAAAATATTTGAAAATTTCCTTAGGGACACTTTTGTCACCTTTGATTGAGATGCCTGTAGAGAGACACTCAGCTTCCTCTCGAGAGCTACTGCTTGCTGCCCTTCTGGGCTTTGGGCAGTGGAAGCAGCGTCACGTAGGTCAAGAGTGTCAACCTGTTACTGCTACCAGTTCTAGCGACTTCTAACAGTCTATCAGACGTTTAGTGGTAACAAAGAAGTAAACCACAATTGTTTAAAGAGAGAAAGCGTGATTTCAAAGGAACGATTGTATTTAGAATATGCAATAGTTCACAGTCATAGACAAGGGTTATAGAGATAGCTTCTTGCTGTGAGCTCAGCGGCCCACCCCCTGGCACCTGATTATTACCCACAGGACAGGGTAGAACAGTTGAAGGTCTACGTCACCTACTTCTTGTGATACAGCGAGAAACGGATGATGGAACACTTTGTGCAGCGTTCAGAACTGTCGAAATCGACTGCTATTTTCAGAATGTAAATGGGATTCGATGATGTACATTGTGAGGACTGAAATGACAGGATTATAGTCAAGCTTATGAAAATACAACCTCCACTTCTGTGGAAAGTGGAGGAGCGAGCAGCGTCCTTGTATGTTCACAATTCTGGTCAGTTTACTCACCAGACCAATAAAATCACATTTAATTTACATAAATTTAATTCTACAATATGTTTATGATAAAGACCGGGCAGAATTATTGTTTACTTGCATTATATAACACTTATAGATACGGGGAAAGTATATGTATATTTTAGAAAAGAGTTTAGTCATTGATTAGGACAAAATAAATAAGAAAAATACAGTTACTTAGCTTTTCTTCTGATTTGAAATCAGTAAAGAGTGACTTCTAATTCAATTATAGTACTTTAAATGTAAATATGTACTTGAGTCTTCTTCAAATAAAATGAGCTAAATTATTTTATACAATCTTTAAGAACAAGTCTATGATTAAAATATTACAATATTACAAATAATTATATAGTAATAACTAAATCGAAATATAAAAAAGAAGGCAAAAATATGACTGTTTTGACATTTAAAGTCAGTGTAGTATCTCAAGTAAGACGGTGAGTAGCTAGAGATAAACCCTAGTTATTTGATAGCACAAAAGGTATGAAGTAGAATTGCTTTTCCTCAACTTTTAGGGGGTAATGGAGTCTCACTATGTAGACTGTCCTGGAACTCACTGCCTATGTGTCGGGATTAAAGCATGGGGCACTATGCCTGGGAAGCAGTCGCATTTTAAGTATGTTCAGAATTTTCTAGGACGACGAACAAGGAAGAGAAAATTGCACCCTGGTGTCAGCCTTTAAGCTGAGCTGGAAAACATACAGTCAGCGTTGTGTTTTGGCTCTCTGCTTCCTTAGCCATCTGGAAGTCTAAAGAGGCCCGCAGTGATTGCCTCTCTGCTGCCCCAAGCATCTATTGCAACCACATATCTGGTATGTGTGAAGTGCAGTAGATGTTTTGAATTTTCTAAGAATAATAAGAAATTCTATAGGAGAACGAAAGGCACAGTTTTGGTTTACGGAAGAATATGCAAAATCGAGTATTTGAGGAGTAGAAATTATTTAAGAAAAATGCTAATTTTAGATAAGTTACGTTTAGATGTGATCATGAATTAAATTGGAGAAAAAAAATTTAAAGCAACACTGGTTAGATTCCTATCATGGGCAGTGACTCTTACTTATGTGAAAACTCTAGATGTTGGGGTCAAGATAGTCACAGTTATCAGTTTTCTCCTTTCTTACTATAGCTGTGACATCAAAGTTAACTGCACGTTCAAAGGAAGGGCTAGTAGGATCTACCTTCCTCTTTGCAAACACCTGAGAAGGTGGTCAACTAGACCGGACAAGGGGGTGGGGGGAGTTAGGACAGTGAAAGTGGTACCTGCTAGGCCAACTCCATCAATCATTTACGTTTTCATGTGAGATCTGCTTGAATTTGTAAAGCTTTCCCTTCTGACTTAGGTTGCTTCCAGTGTGAAACTGTTATGCTCCCAAATGTTTCTGTCATAGCTCTACCTAGCACGTATCGGTGGCCACATCTTACTTAAAGGAACTAAATGATAAAAAATAAAACCCAAACCGACACACTGATTTTATGATGTATCATATAACAATGGCTCAGAACCCAGTAGTTTATGAATGAAATAAAGAGACTTTATTTATTACACAGGCACTTGGATAGTCACATGCCCAACACAGCTGATACACTTAACAGCTAAGGAAACACGCACAGATGTCTGCTTGTAGGCTCAGGAGAGAACGTCCTCTGTGCCGTGGTGAATGAGTGCATTAACAATTGTTCCTTCGCTTTCCTCTAAGCATTTCCAAAAGTTAACACGACAAATAATAGGCAACAAAAACTGATCTACATTCCAACTGGTAGGCTAACTCGAACTGTGAGCAGTGTAAACTTTTATCACAATGCAACATAGTTTGTAGTCATGCTTGAACAGATTAGGTTAGTAGCATGCATTCCATTCTGAAATATGAATACTGTTAAACTATTTTCCAACAAAAGTCAAAAGACGCCCTGCATAGAAAAATACAAATCACTGTAGTCAATATATTATGAGACTGATCTTGGGACTTACATGGTGACGATGAAATCCTAAAATGCCATGCCCACAAAAGCACATTAAAAATGGGATAAACAGATTTCATTAGACAATCCCTAAAAAATTAAGGATGAGAGCCCTAACATTTGGGGGGGAGGACATTCTTGCTGTGTGCTTTGAACAGGGCCTTTCTGCTCACCTCCTTCTGGCTTGACTGGTCCATCGGACATCACCTTCCTGAGGGCTAGCTGGCTTTGGTCGTGGTTGCCATTGGCTGGTGGAGGCAGAGTACCAGACTGAGTTCTTTGCATGGGGAGGACGCCTGCTACGCTGTGTCTGGGCTGCTCCCTGGCATGGTTACACTGCCCACTTTTAGGTGCCGCTGTGGCAGTGCCGGTGGGAATGGAAACCCAGAGTGTAGCCTCAGATGGAACCAGCTTCAATGTTACTCATGCAAACACAAGTGTGCTTTCGTTCGGTTGAAACCATGTTTCCAAAGGCCAAAATGACACCACATGCACAGCGCTGAAGGGGTTAAAACTGGCTGTTTCTTGGGAGGTGATGACCAGGGAGATGAGGGAAGCAACAGCTGCCGCGACTCCCTGGCTGTCGCTGCTTGGAGGTGGCAGCCCACCTCGGCCATGAAACATCGGCACTGAGGTTTTCACAGAGCTGCATCAGGAGATGTCACATGTGAAAACTCATCACTTAAGAGAAGTCCGCGGCTAGACTTCAATGGGCTAGCAGCTACTAGACATGGCACTTCTTGACTTTGAAAACTGTTCACTGGTTAGAGGAAAAATAATCTGTACAGGCTGCTATTCTGTACAAAGCGTGATCCAACAGAATGGACCAGATTGCGCCCCTTAATGAGAGCACGTTGTCTCACCACATAATCTCATATGCATATGAAAAATACGTATTTCCGAGACTGCGGATTTCTGCACATTCTTCAGGAGACTAGGAGGCTCACCCATTAGCTCCTTTCCCCATGCATCCTGTTATCAAACATTGCTTCAAATGGCTTTTTACCCTGGGTTCTAGAATTTGACTATTGGTCTCCTTAAGCTTCTGCTTAAATTTGAGTGTTTCCTGGTCCAAGCATCCCATTATTGACCCTACTTAAATATGTATGTGTGTCCCCGTGCTTGCTTTTGTGGGGATAACGCTGGAAAACTGGCAGTCCCTTGTGCTTGTAGTTCCTGTATTCTAAAGGAAAAGGAAGTGCACACAAACACACACACACATACACACACACGACACTGCTTTGCCTGCAAACTTATAGACACGACTACCAAGTACTATGAGCCAGGTCGGAGAGATGGTGGGAACAAAGGAGAAACAGCCAGTTTTGTCTATGTAAACTAAAAGAAAAAGAAAAAGTAAAGGGGAGGGGGAGCATATTTATGTATTGATACTGTTCTTACACAGACAAAAGGACAGAGAACAGAGTGAGCAGGGGATGCCAAAAGACAGAAAGCAAACAGGGAAGGACAGCAGGAGAGAAAGGCAACAGATGAACATTAAGCTGCCATGCTGAGGAATTTATTTGCGTCTTTTACTTGGTTGAATGCGGAGTTGTTGCACGGCGGCTTCGGCCGCGGCTATGGCAGCCCCTGCGTCTTCCAGGTGGGTTTGAGTGACACTGGTTTTGCTTTGACTGCGAGACGGTCCGTGAGATCGGAGATGGCCTTCGGATGACGATTTTGAGCTACCAGGACTACTGTGGGATTTCTCAATGGTGGGAACTTGCATGTCTGGTTACAAAAGGATAAAACATGAGTTAAAGTTGCTCCCCGGGCCCCCCTGCTGTTAAAGTCTAGTCGACACGTAACTTGAAACCGTCTAAGATGTACATTAATGTTTTCTTTCATGGGTCAGTTATGCAACTTCGCACCATACAGTAATGCAATTAAGATTTGGAAAGCCATTCAGGAAAGGAAGCGAGGGAACGGAGCCTGGTGAAGGGGCTCATTCATCACGAATGAGTTGTAAGAAGCCTCGGGCAATGGATGCTGGCCTCAGTTGCCCCCTCCCCAGCAGCTCTACTCTTTCTCATAGAGGTTGGTAAGACAATGAATTTCCTCAGCTGCAGGACACACGCTGGTAAAACTATAGTGAAACGGTGCCCGAGCGGATTAGAAGGTATTGCCAACTCATTGTTTCAAGAAACTGAGAGGGTGTGGGTGCAGAGACGTAGTCCAGAGCGAGAGGGAGAATGGGATTTTTACAGTAATCATCTTCCAGGAGGTTGAGCATGGCAAAGTTGAAATGGTTCCGTGGAATCCAAACCACATACAAAACATAGACATAAATCATCTTCTACGGTTTCTGTAGTCAGTGGTTCTCAGTGACATTAACTCCATGGCCTCTGAGACGTGACCTCGGCTTCTCCTCCTCTAGAATGTTTCCACACAATCTGTCCTCATCTGATGTACACAAAAACACTCTCAGAAGGAAGGAGTGCTCACTAATTGCCTTTAATCCTTATAAATAATTAATGGTATCTGGTCACCACATGTTATCATATATAGATTGATAAATTTATCAATTATGAGGAGGATTAGTCTTATGCTGTAGAACTGTTGTTAAAAAATAAAGGGAAAACTCTTTCCAATAAAAATAAGGCTGGGCAGAAAGGGTACATGCCTTGAATCCCAGCACTTGGGAGGCAGAGGCAGGAGGATCTCTGTGAGTTCGAGGCCAGCCTGGTCTACAAGAGCTAGTTCCAGGGTAGTTAGGGCTGTTACACAGAGAAACCCTGTCTTGAAAAAAAATGCTGTGCGTAGTGCTAGGTCCCATGTGTAACATCATGATTCAAATTAAAAATTAATTGGAATCCAACATCCAGGAAAGACTTGAGGAATTTGAATTGCCTTTTGTCTTGATGACATGAGAAAAATTCTCTTCACAGGATAAGTAAAAACATGATGCAAATTTCGTTTGTAGACTGACTGTATGAGAATTCAGAGATCCAAACCTTTAAAAGAAATATAACTAACAGTAATGATGGCCATGTTTTAGTCGACGTACTAGAAGAAATTTTATATTGTTTGATGAAATAACTCAGTGAATTTTCTAAGATCCCATTAGAATGGATTTTCAGAAATACAATTAGCTTATGTAGTCCAATCTCATTTTAACAAAATAAGGCAATGACAATGGTGAAGCTACCACCTAAGTCTGTGCTGATATGTGTTTACAGCCCCTTTCTTCCTAAGTCAAAACATTCTTTTCATGATGTCCCATTAATTTTCCCACAGAACTAAAATTGACAATGTATAGTAAGCCTAGAGGGACTCAAAGTCAAGAAGGTACTGACTGACCAAACAGACAAACAACCACGTTCTACTTGAAATGTCTCCTACCCTTGGATGGGTCGGGGAAGACACCATGGCTCCTGCTCTTGATGACAGAGGGCTTTGGAGACTGCTGGCTGCTTTGACTGGCGTGAGACTTGCCGTGGTCAATGCTCTCGGTCTGCTCTTTCAGTGGGTACCACCGAGGAGTGTTGTCCAGGTGAGACGTGCTGGATAGATCGATCAGCACCTGGGAAAGGACAAGGACGCAGGAAAGAGCAGGAATTGAGCTGTAATCGGCTTAGTTTTCCCACGACCTAAAACTCACTAAGGATGTAACCAGATGGATAGACACCACCTTAAGGGTGGGGATGCCGCCTTCCTCACTTCACTTCGCGTATTGACTAATTCTTCCTCAGTTATGATACTGAGATGCTTAACAAATACGTGGCTAAACTAAACTACATAATTTCTCTGACTCCTCCCTAATTTACTCGGGTAGCATGAGAAGATCAGCGTCATAAGCCAAGCTTTTTATGAAACACAAGTTGGTTTGGGTTGTTCTTTTATTATTTATTAAAAAGAAACCAAACTATCTTTATTTTTTCATTATACATGCCAATCCAAGTTCCCACTCCTTCCCCTCCTCCCATTCCCTCCTCGTACCTCCCCACCCCACTCCTATCCACTCTTCAGCGAAGGTGAGGCACAGTGCTTCGGGGAAGGTCCAAGGCCCTCCCTACAATGTTCTATAAAATACTTTTTACTTTAGAAGAAATGTATGATTTTAACGGGAAGATGGACAAGATCAAAGAATGAAAGGAATAAGTAATTTGCCATTATCAGCTTATTTGTCCAATCTAAAACACATTTTAGTGTTTAAATACAGACGTGATTACCAGCTGCCGATGAGAAAGCGTTGGGGCATGGCTTACCTAGTACCCCTCCTTTCCTAATGGGACACACACACAAATACTGAGTTTTAACAGCCACTGGCTTCTTAGATTTCATGAGTAATAAATAATGTAGATATATGATCTAGGCTCATATAAACAAGAGTAAATTAGAAGGACTTCAGTAAGCCAATGTTTTGAAATTTGACAGTAAGCCAAATACAACCCTATCATTTAGAATAATTCTGCATACAATCAACTTTAGTTTTAGTGGCTGAACTAGGAAAGAATCCGAAAAGCAGGCTTTGGTGGTGTGGATTGGATGGGAAAGAGGTAGCGTATTTCAACCCAAAGAAACTCTTATTACAGAGACAACACATGCAAGACAGACAGTCCCTATCAAGAAGGGATTGTGTCAGCTTCAGATTTCCTGGAAATCACATACATACAGTATGTGTGAGTGTATCCACACACATAACTTAAGTTAAAAGCACTAAATAAACTTCGAAGTTTTATAACACTGTTGATGGAAACACCCAAAGGTCTGCTCACTCTTCTAGATTCTATTCTTAGATATACATGTGTGGTTTCTAACAAATTCATATAATAATTATTTCAAGTATCTTCTCTTCTACCTAGTTTTAACTTTTAAAACCTTTGAAAATCATTACAATAATATTTAATCATAAATGGCAATAGGAAATGTTACATGGAAGGAGGAGGGATTCAAGAAATTGATATTGCAACAAGGACATGTGCTCAATTATGGTCATAGCAGCATTGTTTGTCATAACCAGAACCTGGAAACAACCTAAATGTCCCTCAACCGAAGAATGGATAATAAAAATGTGGTACACTTACACAATGGAGTACTACACAGCAGAAAAAAATAGCGACATCTTAAATTTTGCAGGAAAATGGATGGAGCTAGAAAACATCATTTTGAGTGAGGTGACCCAGACCCAGAAAGACAAATATCACATGTACTCACTCATAAATGGTTTTTAAACATTTAAGCAAAGAAAACCAGCCCACAAAACACAATCCCAGAGAACTTAGACAACAATGAGGACCCTAAGAGAGACATACATGGATCTAATCTATATGAAAAGTAGAAAAATCAAGATCTCCAGAGTAAATTGGGAGCATGGGGACTTAGGGGGAGGATTGAAGGGGAGGGGAAAGGCAGGGAGGGGAGTGGAGAAAAACATAGAGCTCAATAAAAATCAATAAAAGAAGGTGTTGCATTTAAAAATTCCAGCTTAGTTTTTATTTCTTTTTTTGTCTCAGATATATTTGTAATCACATTGTGATTTTTTTATTTTCCCGCTAAAACACTACTTATTTAATCTTAACTAAATTAAAAAGTGCATCAAATGGTGAATGGAAAATCACTTCTCAAGTTTCTATTCAAGGAGTAACTCAGGAAATTAACTTACCGGCCAAGAGATGCTGGTCAGGAACGGCTATTGTGTAAACTCAAGAAGTTTATCATCTTCCATCCTTCTTTAACTTGTTGCACAGAGTGACAGTATAGAAAAGCATGGACTTACCTCCCCGAGGAAGTCGTTGGAAGAGAATCTGTCGTAGTCCCACACTGTCACCTCCAATGTCTTCTTCATGAGCTGCGTGTGGATACGGCTGTCACCAACCACATCTCTCCAACATGCATTTCTAGACATTTCTAGATGATTCTTGCCTGGAACTCTTTTCAGTCTATGAAAATGCTTGATAATTTACTGAAGACTCTATGTTAAATGTTGTGTGGAATTATAACGGTTAAATTGTAGTGCAATCTAGTGTTTGATTATAAGGGACCTCATTATTTTGTGAAAAACTTGGTCATACTTATTTCCCGTTCTTCTGTCTTTACTCATTTAACAAGAAGCAGACTATACTCTCTAAATATATGAAAGCCATGAATCCAAAACATTTAGATTTTTCTTTATCCCAACCATTACCAAAATGAAGCATTTTTACTTCTGCAGAATTTAACTTACTTTAAAGAACTCAGATTAATATTCACTTATAACTTCATATTCATAACCACCTTTCAGAGAGCAAACCAGAACTTCATTTTGAAATATTGTTTATTGCAAATTATCTTATTTGGATGGCTTTCCTGTTTCTTTCTCTTTTTCTTCTTGTTTTGTTTCTTGAGACATGGTTTTTCTATGTCATCCTGGCTGTCCTGAAACGCACTCTGTAGACCAACCTGACTTTTAACTTACAGAGATCTGCCTGCCTCTGCCTCCTGAGTACTGGCATTAAGCAGATACTATTCCTGTTTATGGAAGTTATGGAATTCATATTCTTTTAAATTAAAAAGACATATACACCAACGAACCACTTATTTTTGGTTTTGGTGTCTTATGGAAGTCATCACTACATCTTTTTCACAAAATTTTATATTTTCCTCTTGGGAAAATACATAAATGAAACCCTACACCGTAAATAGAATAAATAACACATTTCATGTATTTCATCTTAGTTTTTCTTGGTGTTTCTTCTGATAATCAAACATCAGCAGTTGAAAATATTTCCTAAAATGTGTAAATCTGATTGAGTCCATTGAAAATGTTTCATTTTAAAATATTCTAAGAGCCTTGCTTCATGAACCCATTTGTTCACGTTTGGGCCACTTTGTTAAATATGAGCCTTTGTTTTCACCTACCTTTGAATTTCTCTCATTGATTATCGCTGACTATATTTCTCCTGTCTTTAGTGAGCTCTCACTGTGTTTGGAAAACCTTGATATTGGCCCTGACTTTCCATAGCATTGCCGTCACTGCACTTACATCAGCCTACATCTGTCATTTATCAAATAATAATTACATACCTGCTCCATGGAAATACTCTTATAAATTACTGTTTGATTCCATTCCGGATTAAGACTTTTCTGGACATATTTAGTTCTCCTCTTGTACTCAGCACTGAATTGGAAGAGAAAAAGAAGAGGTGTTTTTTTTTTTAAATTTACATTTTACCTTATCTGATGACTTCTGGTCAAACTAAAGGGCATGTAACATTTGTCAGATCTTTGGCCTCACATCACTGTATAATCATTGCATCTTGAAACTCAATTTTAAGTTGAACAGACAATGACATCTTGAAAATATATTGGGTGTCTTGATTTTGCTTGCACTACTGAGTATGGGTATGTTTGTAAAGAAATTCCTGTAGGATTTTGGACTATACTTTAGAAATTTTGCTTTTTCCTATATGTGGAAAATACTTAAATTCAGTATGTAATAACATTAATATCTTTTTGTTTCCTACATAATTGTATAGTCTTTAACTTTCTGAGAGTTTGACCTCTAATCCTGTCAGCAAAGCTAAATCGTCTCCCCCCACCCTCCCGCCTACAAGGCAGTGAATCAAGAGAAGGGCGTGATGGCCCAAGAGTGTGAGTCCAGCATTTGCAGGTGCAAAGCAGAGCTCAGTTTCCTCAGCTACATAGCTACTTTGGGCCCAATTTGGGCTACATTAGACCCTATTTTCTCTTGTCTTTAAAAAAGAAAGAAAAGGTAAAGCAATCATTACATTTACAGAGAAAAGAAAGGCACATGGCTCTTAATGACAGATGAAATTGCAAGAACTTTCCCAAAGGGACCTTTGAAACTCCCTTTAAAGTATGACATTTACCATGGTTATGAAGCAGGTTGAAATGCCTTATGCCACTAAGTTACGTTAAAATGGAAACTAAGTTAAATCTTTCATTCATTGTAAATGGGGGCATCTCAATGAATCCCCAGTTCTCCCATTGTCTCTAAGCAATCATTAGCTGCTTATGTAGTCTACATACACTTAACAACTTCTATAGAAAACCTGTCCAAATTAAGCACAATAGCGCACCCACAGCTGGCATGGACTAGTGACCGGAGTTGTAACTAGGCAACTGCTGTGTTTAGCGTTATTGATCCCACAGGCAAGGCCTGGCCTTACCTTCACCTTTTCCTGGCTTTTCATCTCAGTTTATATCTCATTGATGAAGTAATAGTCTATTTCTCTAGGAGTCTTCTGTTTACTAGGAAGTCCTGGTCTTGTCTGAATTTGCTAGCTGCCTTTCCTTAAAGACAGTCAAGACTCCATACCACTGGGCTGTAGAGATGGTTCAGGGGTTAAGAGCACTGACTGCTCTTCCAGACGTCCTGAGTTCAATTCCCAGCATCCACAAGGTGGCTCACAACCATCTGTAATGAGATCTGACGCCCTCTTCTGGTGTGTGGGCATATATGCAGGCAGAATGTTATATACACAATAATAAATAAACTTAAAAAAAAAAGACTCCATACCACTGACACTCAAGGAGAATAAAATGTAATCATTCTAGGATAAAGTTTAACATTTGTGATTTCTGAAAGCTGTAATGTAATATATAGTGAAATTTGTGCTATGGGTTTTGTGCCTCACCAAACTTCATATGCCACCCATGAGAAACTGATTCTAGGGCCTCTCATTTTTAACCATCCCATTTGAGTGTACAGAAATAAGAACAGGATTTAATGTTTGTCATTCAAGATAAATTACAGACACTTTGGAAGAAATTTTTACACAATGATTTTAACAAACAGAATTCTCATGAAATTATGTTTGTATATTTATTTCGTCTAACATTTTGTCACTACCTCATGAACCTTATTATACATACACACCCAGGATAACTTATTATACATACACACCCAGGATATTTCAACTCTACTAATTCTGCTTCTACCCAAGAGAATTTCTCCCACTTGTACAAAAGAAATTTATTCAAAAACATTAACCACAAAGTTAATAAATGAATAAGTACATGCTTATATATTCAATGAAATATTAAGCAACAGGATGAATTAAATCAAATTCTTAAAAATGATTTTGTTTAAAATTTTGCAAAAACATAAATATGTCACTGTTAAGTTATGTGAATTTAAAATTGTTGAATAATTTTCTAAATTACAGGATACATTTGTATATAAGACATCTATATTAATATCACAGGAACACTTAGGAGTTACAAATGCTAAATTCAATTTAGTGGCTATTCTAGGTGGACAAGAGTGTGATTTTTTGAAGGCTCCAAATGAATGCATCTTCTACCATGACAACATCTGAAGCAAGTACAGCAAAATGTTGACAAAATGAGAGAACAAGCATTGAAGTATTAGTTAAGGTATAATGTTCAGTAAACTTGGAAGGTTCCCGTTTCAAAACTGTAAAGTTCGTAGCAGAGTATGTCCTTTTATATTGTGCTTGCTGTTTATTTTTGATGCTGTCATGGGAACAGTTGATGTGAGACTTTCAGGTTAACAGCTGACCTGTGCAGTACCTGGGATCCATAACTGTCCCGCTAGGCGGGGGGACTTAAGCAAGGCACAGACATAATGGAATCATAGGAACACCAGAGTAAAGATAAAATCCAAAATTTGAGGATAATTAGTAATATTTCTTCATTTAAAAGAGTGAATCTTCTTAATTTTCAAGACAAGCATGAAGTCAATTGCAAACATTTCTTTATTAAAATGCAGCTGTGTCTTAAACTGAAATCGTCCTTAGTGCTGCCATGTTCTAAAAGATTCATTAATTGAATTAATTGAATAAATAATAAATAATAAAAATTTCACATCCACATTTAGTAATTCTTGCCACTTTTACAAATATAAAAATCACTGAATACCAGTACAAATGCAACTGGTGTTACCTTATGATTCTGTGTTTTATTCCTACTTGAAGCATTTTATGAAGCAGCCACATTGAAATAATAACTACATTAAGTTCTGGCTGCTTCCTGGTAAGAGCTCTAACTACTTTTTTTTGTGTTTACCCACGTAATCTTCAAAGCTTCCATACAAAACAGGTTCTATTTATTATCTTATTTAATAGGTAAGATTGGCTGAAACTTGAACTCTAAGTCTTGGGGGAATTAAGATGCGCTAGTAAGGCTACAAGGGTGTTAGGTAGTAGGGTTAGGATTAAGCTAAAAAATCCTTATTCTTAACTCTTAAATATATTACATGAAATTAATATAATAAAGCTATTTAAAAGCATCACTCACTCATGTTTTAATTAATTAATTTATTTATTTTTTATCTTTTTTAAAACAGGCTTTATTAGAGTTGCCTAGAGATATTCTGAATCTCATGTAACTACTGTGTGACAATTAGGGACAAATGATGACAGGCATTTATCTTTTAACAGAGTCAGAGGTAATCTAAAATGGAATGGATTAACTGTATCAATAGAGTATCTTCATCTTATTGAATTTGATCCTCCAATCTGTCCAGACTTAACCCCCTTTCCACAGTTTTCTTCTTCTTCTTCTTCTTCTTCTTCTTCTTCTTCTTCTTCTTCTTCTTCTTCTTCTTCTTCTTCTTCTTCTTCTTCTTCTTCTTCATATTCTTCTTCTTCTTCTTCTTCTTTTTAAAAGAGAAAACTATTTTTATTATCAGAGGCTACTTCTTCTACAGAGCATCTACATAACATCTCTTTCATGTATTAATAGATTAAAAATAACAGCAAGCTTGACTGCAAAAGTACACAGGAGAAACATAACAAAGTCTGTTTATGAGACTTTATGCCACCTGAAATTTTCACATATTTGAAAAGTAGAGCTCATGAACTAGCAAATATTGTCCTTCTAAAGTCCTTAAAGGTAAGTTTAACCTTACCTTTACAAACCTTTTACAAAAACCTTTTACAAACACCACACCAGTATCACTTATCTGATATTTATAAAACAAGATCATATTTTCCAATAGATTAAAATCAGCTCAACACCCATGGAAGTTAGAAGGCTAGCTGTGTGGTGAGCAAAGACCTTACAGCAGTATAAGTCTATGAAGTCCCAAACTGGTCCTTTTCAAACTGTCTCCATTTTGTGCACTAACAATGTGAGGCTCAACCCCATTCCTCTTTGCACGTGTATTTGTGATCTTATCATTTCATACTGAGCACTGAGATTTTGAAAAGCTTCTTTCGGCTTTCACGTCTTGCAGCTTTCTTCATAAACTGAGCTATAGCCAGCCAGTTTCATCCTTACACTTAATGCCCATGGCTTTCTACATTTCAGAATTCTGTTTTCTCACTCTGGCAGTGTGAGACTTGTTACCTTCTTTCTTGCCAGAGCCTTTTGCTTCCTTCCTCTTGCTCAGCAAATAGCAGCTGGTTACACACGCTGGGCACAGCTATGCGTGTCTGTGCCTGGGTGTTAGCTTGCAGGGCCTTTTCTGAGCTTTAATAGCGATCTGAGGAGTCATTTGTGTTCCCAACCACAACAGCGCAGCAAGACGGAAGACAGAAGCCCCAGATTCCTGACCTGCAGCTCTTAGAGCCATTTCTTGTTATTTTTGTTTGCAATCGTATGCGTTTTGTTGTTGTTCTTATAATTTCTTTCCTCTTTCCAATCTCTGAGTTAAAGTTTCCTAGGCGTACGTTGCTGTCTTTCTGCCTCTGAAGGGAGGTGGGCTAGGTGTTCATTTAGACGTCAGCTCCTCGTCCAAGTTTTCCAGTTCTCTTCTGTCTCAGCTTCGGTTCCTTGTTCTAGTGTTCAGCTTGTGTCTGGATCTCAACTGGATGTGTTCTGATTGGTCATTTCCCATCCCTGCTTCTACATCTTGACTTCTCTTTGTCTCTGATTCTGCAATGAGACTTCTTCCTTTCTCATTTCAGTGGACACTTTAATGAGACCTAGATGTTGAGTGGCTTCTGCCTCATGATGACTTACCTACCTTCGGTGTGCTGTTTTTTTTTTTTTTTCAGATGAATTTAGTTGCTCCCTTATTTATCTGAAGAATGCTCTTTACCCTGTGTCCCTCGGACTTGTGTCTTCTTGTCTTTATCAGGAAACAGGCTTACTATTTAGCTATCTGAGCCTGCAGCACCTTGAGTTCAGCCTCTTTGCCCCTTAGCTCGATCTTCGCTTCTTCAGCTGTGTGTTTATATTCACCATTATCTGACTTCCAGTGTCTTTCTGCTGACCTTGGTCATCATCCTGAATAATGATATTTTGAGGCTCCAGAAGAAAAGAACACAGCTCAGTGCTCCTTTTCTTTCTTTGTCTGGGGCTCGTTTCTGGGGCTATCCGTCTTGTTCTGGATACCTAATTAACCTTCTTTAGTGAAAATATCCTCTTGATGCAGAGGTATAGCAAAACATATTCTGCCTGTCAGTATTTATGCCCTGAGCTGCGGAGCATTGAGATTACAGATGCATCAAACCCAGTCTTCATTTGAATTTTGGTAAGAGGCATGTGATAGTTTGGAGTCTTGGCTGCTAAGGTAGTACCTCTGCTTGCCACACCCAACAATATAAGTCAATAGCTTTGCTACAGACTACTTTATACAACTTTTAAAAACAATCCTATTTTATTACTTGCAAATTCAAATATATATATATAGTATGTTTTGATCAAATCAGATTACCTCCTCTCCGATTTCTCCTTTACCCACTTTTCCAAAATCTATGTGCTTAAAAAAAATCCTCACAGAGTTCGCTCAGTGTTGCTTTTATGTGTGCAGACGTAGGGCTGTCTGTTGGAGTACAAGAAGCCTCTCAAGGGCTTCTACCTCCCTTAGAAGCTGTCTTCCCTTGCCCAGCAGCCACCACTGCAATAATCTCTCAGTTTGGGGTGAGAACTCAGGAGCACCAGCAACCCACACTGGGCATATGGCTGGTATAATCTTATGCAGGTCTTGTGACCTTTCCACAGCATTGATTGCTTCATTTAAAAGCCAAAGCAGTCTTCTACAAGATCTTTTCTTTTCTAGTTTTTCTTCTTTCCTTTCTCCTTTCTTCAAATAATTAATTAGTCTATGGGAAGCATGCCATAATATACTAGGCTGGTCTCAAACCTGGGATCCTCTTCAAAAATTTAATTATTAACTCTTTACATTTTCTGAAGTGCATAGCTGGCCTCATAAAGCCATTCTTCTCAAACACTCTTTAGCGCTATCACCCTCTGGTTATCTTGTGATACTATAATATGATACTATAATTCCGTGTTGAAACTTTGTATAACTGATAAACCACCATAATTGTAAAAGCTATGACAAAATCTCTGGATTTGTGAGCCAAACATAGATAACTAAACTGGGGATCTTGAGAGTGATCGTATGTTCAGTCTGAAGGGGAGAAAAGGGCTACTCTTCTTTGCCTTTCTTGTCCGGGAGGGTTGAGTACCACATTATGACAAATAGGTCATGTTTAACTAATTAATTAGTTAAAGATTTAATTTAAGATTTATAAATATAGAAAAATTATAAAATTCAATTTATCAAATGAACATGGAACATGCATTTCATCTTAAAATATGACTGCATGTCTCCATTTTCTTTTAAATTATTAAGATAAAAGTCAGGTCTGAACATCCTATTGCAATACTTGCTCCAAGTGACAACATCCACATGCTACCAAGAGAATTTAAAGAAAGTCTGGTGAGTAGTTGCATCACCAGTTATGAAAGTTAACATTTGTTACAATCAGAGGAAAATGTCCTTATGAGAAAAACTGTCCTCTTCCAGCAGGATGCTGGGAGCAAACTGGGAGCTATTTCAGTTCTGCACATTTTCACTTCATAGCTATCCTAGTAAATGTACCGAGGCCGTAGGCCATGCGCTCTCCTTCCTTGGTAGTTCCTCCTCTCATTCCCACCCAACCTCAATTCTTTCATAGTATGTGGATATATTTAGAAAAAAAATTATAGAAAAATAAATGAAAAGAAATGCTAAAACTGGACCGGTGTGGGTTGTTTAGGGCAACAGAACGTTCGTTGTTTTATTTATGGTTAATTGATTATTTTTATGTGCATGAGTGTTTGGTCTGTGTGCTACCTGTGTCCTAATGTCCACAAGGCTAGAAGAGGACGTTGTATTCTCTGTGACTGGACTTAGAGACAGCTGTGAGCTGCTGTGTGGGTGCTGGGAACTGAACCCCAGTCCTTTGGAAGAGCAGCCGGTGCTTTTACCTGCTGAGTAAGCTCTCTACCCCTCATTATATTATTTTTATTCCATTGCATTTTTTTTTTACTGAAGAAAGGTTGTTTGGCTTTGTTGCTATTACTATAAAACTCATTTGTATGACCGAGTAGCTATTAATACTCTCTCTCTCTCTTATTTAACTGTCTTTGGCTACTAGAAATTTATTACACATAGTATCAGAAGTAATAACAGCAACTGTCACTTACTGAAGATTATTATGTGGCATACATGATGCTCCCCACTTTTGGTTTATCACTAAGCATATTTCACACACACACACTCACACACTCACACACACACACAC